GCAAATGCCATGACTCAGGTGGTTCTCTCTCTCTCTCTCTCCCTCCATCTCTCTCTCTCTGGGTATTATTTTGTTTTGCAAGCCCTGGCATGAGCTGGCTTTAGCCTCACCATAAAAATTTGACTCACTTCCTAAGGGCAGGCTAAAATAACATGAAGATTTTTAAAAGTGCTTCTTGTACCTTCTTAGCCACAACAGAAAGACATTGGGTGTTTCTGGAGAAAATAAAGTTTTATATATACATATATATAAAATCAGGTTTGCTAAACACAGATGAGATGATCTTTACAGCCCAATTTTCTTTGACTCTCTGAATTGCTCCTTTTCAGAAGAGAAATTCTGTGCCTCTCCCGTGGCTGGATTTTGACAATCAGCACTTCTCTCTTCCCTGAGTGGTAAAGCCCGGGGGAGGAGGGGGGGAGGGAGGAGGAGGAGGAGGTGGAAGAGGGCTGAAAGTAAAGCAAAGAATTGTTCAGATTGCCTAGATCCCTCCAGGAAGTGATCTTTCTGCTTTTACTCCAGACACACGCCTCCCAGCCAGCCAGCAGCTCCAACTAATTAGCACACGTGATGGGAATAGGAAACAAAGTCACAAACAATAGCAGCGTGGGAACGCAGTATAAACTGCAATTACATAGACCCCCCCGCCCCCCTTCTCCCCCTGCCCCCCTCCCACTCTGCCCTCCTCCAAATAAATAAATAAAGGCACAAATAAATAAATAAGTGCATAAAACCGCAAGAGCTGCCGACAATGCAGCAGATAAGCGTGGGAGGTGAAGATCGGCGTTTGCGGGTGGAGCAAGAGCCAGCTCTTCTTTTCATTCCATGCTTCAAGTATATCGAAGCTGCTTCGCTTCCTTTTGTTCAGCGTCGGGGCACAACAGAAAAAGGTGTTTGGGGAATTTCAGCACTTGCTAGGTCATGGGGGAGGTCACTCCGCTTTTGTTGGGAGAGAAGCAGAAGAAGAAAAAGGGCAATCGAATATCCTCCTTGAGACAGCTTACAAGCACATGTCTCATGCTGTCAGGGGGCTAGGCTCCAGTGTGACACTTCCAGCTCCTTGTCTCCCTGCCAAGCTGAATGTGTTCAATATACGTTATATATGTGAGAAGTGGTGACCACTCCCCTGGCCAACCACAGCTCCGAGACATCCTATAACGGAGCTATGGTGTGGGATTAAACACACTGACTGTGCTTTAAGCATTAAGAGCGTGTGACTGTTTGCACTTGCTTCACTTCATCGCCATGAACACTGACCATGGAGGTGTTCATACAGAGCTCATCATCACAGCATTGCAGAGCTTAGACAGTTACGTATCGAGATGCATGTGCTGCCTGTTTGGTTTTGTAACAAACACAAGGGATTCTTCTCTGGCTGCAGCAGCATGAATCAAAAGAGAGGCCTGGGTATGCATGGGAGGTTACTGCTATAGCTGTCCTGGCATGCTGCTTTCGTAGCTCCTGTTCCCACAAAACTGAAATCATTTGGAATAAAACTTTCAGGTGGGTGCTATTTTGAAAGGAAATGCTTTCTCCTGGAATAATTTTTCTCCTTTAAAAGCAGACAAAATGAAGGTTGCTCTGAGAACAGAGGATCCACACAGGGTGTTGGTTTTGCAACGCTATACTGACCAGCTCTGCAGGGTCCACAAGTCTTGGCTTTTCTGAAACCCATAGGAATGCTGCAGTTTTTAACTACTGGGAGCAAAATAAGGCAGCTCACTGAAAAACACCCTCAATATCAGCTATTTTGTAACTGTGTTTTCATAGCACTTCAAAATTGCTTCAAATCTCAAAACTAGCTGCTTTATGACCCCTCAGTTTGGAGAAAAAAACTCTCAGGTCTGATGCAGCTACACATGTAGATCATTCAGGGAATTAAAATTTCCCTAACAAACAGCAAGTTCAGTATCTAATTTTGTTCTGGCAAAATCAGAGTGGCACTTCTCTCCTGTTATTTATATCCTGGTATTCCCTAACGTAATGGAAGAGACAACTGATGGTAGGATTTTATTTTGATAGCCTGCAACATCCAAATACTGTGCTTGCCTGGAATAAAGTTTCATATTCAAACCAGTCAAGCTTAGTTTTTATTTTATCTAAAGCAGACAAATCAGGTGACTTTGCCATGATCTCCATGATGAAATCTCAGCCAAAGACCTGACCACCTTGTGGCAATTAAAAATCTCTGGCACTTTCTCACTCTTGTCACACATGCTAAACATCACTCACAGTTCATTTCTCTGTGATTGGGGGGTGTCTCATGCAGTGGTTGTTTCCCGGGGTCTAACTTTTGCTCAGGTGGCTGAGCTCTGTGGGACAGCAGGTGTCTAGTACATACTGTAGCAGGAAGGTGTGAGGTGAATGAATGTAAGTTATCATATGAGAGGAAAGAAAGAGATACTTTTCAAGGAGTCAGTGGTCACCACCTCAGATAGGTAACAACCACTGTTTTCATTGAACTTGTCTGTGCAATGATCATCAAAGCTTTTAACAGCTGGTACCTTCAAAAGCAGTCAGTTGTTGCTTTGATTTGCTTTATTCCAAACTGTACTTACCAACAGCTACAGGACATGCTCAACTTTAAATTTTATTTTTGCACAATGAAATTTAGTTCAAGTAAACTTGTTAGGCAAAATATTTTCTTTTTGCCAAAAAGTCATACTTTCAAATAACAGTTTGCATGGTGGAACAGGTCTGGGAGTTGTTTTCCATCCTATGCTTCCTAGAAAGAAAGAATAGCACACATATATTTTTCTCAAGGCTGCATCTTACTGGCAAAGAAAACCCGAAGTAAGTCTCTCTTTGGAGCAGGGACTTTCTCTTCATAGATCACTGTGCAACACAAAGGATGGTTTATGGTTTGAACACTGCTCTTAAAACACTGAAGCTGCAAAATTGCATAGGAAAAACAGCTAGTCAGGCTGTTCCTTGATGGACTGTGAGGGTTTTGACAGCAGGAAACCAGAGCAAGTTTCTGTATGATTATTCCTCAATTCAGTTATGAGAAAAGTTCTGTAGGAACAGAAGAAAACTATTCCGGCAAACTACAGAGGGGCTTGGTGGAAAATGTGTCAGAAAAAAGAAAAACATGGTTTTACTCTGTGGTATCTGTGGAAAACTATACTGTGTGAGACTGAGGAATGAACACAGGGATATAAATACACTGGTTGGATGGTCTCTGTAGGTGACACGTCTGTGGCCATTGTCCTCTCTAGTACTTGGCAGGGCTGATAGAAGCTGTCCTACCAATAACATGTTACTGAGTTTATTGTGTGATTTTACACACAAGGTACATTCTTACTCACATGGACAAGAAGTCATTTTCCTGCAATTAAGAGCAAAGGTGGCTGCAAATCAAACCATAATATTATACACAATGCCACATCAAGTCAGCCCCCTTTTGCATTTATTATGAGACAGCTATTAATTGCCATGACCTGGTGTCATTCCTCCTGTAGGGTCTTGGCCTCCTTCAGTGTACAGGACAGAGTATACTTAGGGAATGGAGGAAGGGATATCTAGTGGCAGAAGCTGCTATCTGTAAGACCCTTGGCCCAGAGGGAGGCTTGCATAAAAAGGGGAAGGCGGTCCAATTGGTTGGAAAGGAAACCAGGTGAAAAAATAGCCCATCTGCCTGTTCCTCCAACAATTGAAGGGCTGACTAAATATGAGGTAGCTTTGCCTGTCAGTGTCTTGAAGGTGCATTCAGAGATTAGCCTTGTACACAGTTATAGCCCAGGCCTGGTTTTGGAGATCTGCTGAAGTCTAAACAGGTAAATGCAAAGTCTATGGGCATTGCTTGGGGCCATGCAGATGAGAAATCTGCCTGTACTGCTGCTGTTAATGATATACTGGCATTGCTACTAGTCTTGCGTATTTACAGCTACACACTACTTCCAGAAAACGAGAGCTGAAACCTATGCTGCAGTAGAGATGCTGCAGCTGAGGTACTCTGCTCACACTAAGGACTTTGATGTAAGAATTATTCCTGTCTGTGGCCAACCTGAAGACAGGAAAGCCTTGACAACCTGGACATGACTGCAGGCGCATGTGAGTGTGAATGTACAATGTTCTGCAGCAGCGGCTGCTCCAGCACAAGGATGCCTGCCATCTGCACTGCAGAATGAGGCAAGGAGCAAGGTGAGCATGCTTAGAGAACACCCAAGCCTAACTTCTGAATGGGTTATCTGGCCCTTAGACACATGCAGACATGATTTTCAGCGTTCAGCTCCTGAGAAAACACCTTTACAGTCACAGTGCTGTTAACAGATCATGCAAGAAGTCTAGGAAACTCTTCTGTCGCTCCTGTTTGTTTCTCAAGTGCTTCCATTGGATCTGTGCTAACTAGTTTTGAACTGTGTCAGTGGCACAAACAATTGACACCTTCAGCCAGAATTCAATAAAGAAAAAGACAAGATTTGGAGCAGCAACCTCTTGCTGGCAGAGCTGATGCTGCAGCCTGACACATGCGGGAGGTGGGTGGGGGCCGCTGATGTGTTTGCCTGGCTGCAATGCGAGTGCCAGAGCCACTGGTTGAATTGGGCACGGTAACCATAGTAACGGCAAGTTTCCGGGACTCCGGGTGACAGGTTGACAGGATTACTCTTCAAAGCACTTGCTCCCTTGGGAGAGAAGACCTAAAGGAAGGGGATGGGAGTTAATTTAGCACACGCACTAGAGCAAGGGTCAGCAGTGGCAGGTCTCTGCTGGAGGGGAGCCTGCAGCAGCAACAAACAGCTCCCTGCCTGGGGGACTCCATCGAGTACCGACATCACTGTAGGAGGCAGTCGACAAAGCAAAACGGGGGGTGCACACGAGAAGTGACACCACTCCCTTCTGAGGGACAGTTGTGCCCAACAGTTCCTGAATGTTTCAAACCTGAGTTTGAAACCTGCTGCATGTTTGAAACCTGCTTTGCGTGATGACTTTTCCCTGTCCTGCCATTCCTGCGCACAGCGGCGGGATGGCCAGAGGCGGCTGTGGAGCCCGCGTCCGGAATGGTGGAGCTGCACCTGGAAGTGATGGGGAAGCGGGACGGGGGGAGGCAGCTGCTGCTGTGTATGGTAGGAAGGGGTGATGTGCAGCTGTGGGATGAAATGTTTGGATGCTGGGGAGACTGAGGCATGGGCATGGCTACAGTGAGAGGTGGGCAGGCAGAAGGCAAGAGGGTGCTGGCACTGTAGTGTGAAGCCAGAAAACGAAGGCACCATGGCCGTGTAGGGGACAGAAGGCTGCAAAGGTTCTTTGCCTCATTGATGTGAAGGTATCAATGGGGTCTGAAATTAAGCTCTTTTTAAAAGTGCCTTCCTCTTGTGCACTGCCTTTTTAATTACCTCGGACTTCGGTGAGCAAAAGTCTGCTCCCCTGTCTGCCCTTCTGGTGAGAGAGGTGCCTGGCAGTGCTGTCTCAACGTGTTGGTAACTTCTGCCTAATAAAACTGCCCTTTCAGCTGCAGTTAACAATTAGACCAACGCTGAGGAGTGGGCCCTGCCCAGTGCCAGAACAGCACAAGAGTAATTTAAAGCTGGTTTTGCTGTCTGCTCCTCCTAGTGCTGGACAGCAAGATCGAAACCACACACAGGCAAACACTTCTTGGCTTCCCATGGCAGCTGATAGCCAACTGCAATTGGTCTCTTTGAGCCTCAGCTACACTCCACCTGTAAGTCATTCCGAGAAGTAAATGTCTACAGAAGCTTCAAAAGCATCCCTAGAGGCAGCAGGAGTTGAGGATGAAAGCCAGCTCCAGGACTGGACTGCTGGGAACCTGGGTGGCCAGACCTCTGCTCACAAGCAACCAATGCTTTTCTTTTACAGTGTTCTTTTTTCCCTCATAGTGTGAAGAAGACACAAATATGGGAGAAGTCTGCTGTGTAGTCTGCAGGCCAAGAAGACGTCACAGCACCTTCCACTGACCTGGCTTTTGGTCCTGAAAAAGCAAGTGGTGCAGGCAGAGGCGCTTTACAAGAAAAATAAAGAGGCTGGAGAGATGGATGCAACTGCAGTGCTTGGCACAAGCTTAACTGTGGCACTGCAGAAAGGACAGGTTTATGAAAAATGTGGGAACAGAGTATTTCTACCATCTTCTGTCAGCTACTTAGAGATGGCTGTAGGATTGTTTCTGTCTTCTTAACTGCAGCTCTTCTTTTACTGCCTTTAGCCTGCTCCTTGCTTCCGTTTCCCTTCCCACCAGAGATGCTTTGCAAAAAACCATGGGCAACTGACTGAAATCTAGAGAGCAACTCTGTGCCAGGAACTTTTACCTAAACCAGGGGGAGGCTGAAAGCAACTATTCCAGGATCCTGAAACGGGCAAACCTGGGTTCATCAACTAACTCTTCACTGACGCACTGTGCACATCTTGGTTATCCTCCAGCCCCTTCAGTTGCGAAACACACCAAAAAATTAGCTTAGAAAAGAAGCCTTAGTTGAAAGGCTTCATGTAAATGAAAATTTAATTACTATGAAACCACCTCAAAGAGCACGCTCTCAGTTTGCCTCTCCCATGTTGCCGGTACCTCAGCCTGAGAAAGCCGGCAGAACGCAGAGACTCGTGCTGGGGAGCCCGGCAATCTGGGGGAGCAGGGCCCAGCTCAGTGCAAAGCGGCGCTCACGGCGGGCCCGGCGCCCCGCACGGCCCCGCACCCCGCCCGCC